TTAAAAGAACCAAAGACTTAAACTACTTCAGTCTGTGTGCATTGAATTTATTTAATACACGAGTTTCACAATTTGAATTGAATTACTGAAATAAATGAACTTTTCCACGACATTCTAATTTATTGAGATGCACCTGTAAAAGCTACATACAAACATTGTAAAAAAAAATTAACTTACAAACACAACAAGATTACTAAAACATAAAAATTAAAATGGAAAATATAAAAAAAAGGAATTCAAATAATTTATATAAAAGCTATAGTAGTATATTCGTGATACTAAAATAAAAGTTCAGTAGTGTTTCATGTTGTGTTTGTTTTGCAGGAATTGAAGCCACTGATCTGACCAGCCTTTTGGAGCAGTTTGAGACTCAAGGTAAATGATAAATGCACGTTCGTTTATGATCGCGTGTAATTGAATAGACACTATCAGCTCATTTACATCAGGTCAGATTAGGGTTGGGTTCCGAAACCCGGTACCAATATGGCACTGGTACCTATGTAACCGGTATGTACTAGAACCGAATCCGAACGCAGATTTCGGTGCCATGCCTGAACGATCGATTGAAATGGACCTTCGGATTCGGCTGTTTTCTTAATCCCGCTCCCGCTGAATCTCTGACCATTGCGGCCAGCTCCCGCAACATGTGTTTCGCTCCCGCGATTTTCGTGTCCACTGCTTTACACATTCTAATATTGTGTATAATTTTGGTGCATCAGGGAGCCGCTCTTTCAGGCACCGTTTGGGAACCGTTTTAAAAGTATCGATTTGGCACCGGTATCGAAAAAAAAACAAACGATACCCAACCCTAGGTCAGATAAGAACTGTGTGCTTTATCAGCACTGAATAATTTTCAGTCCATAAAAGCTCGTCTTGCCTTCTGCTTTCAGATTGAATTGATTGTCCGTGTTCGTCTCCTCGGGACAGAAGACGATATTGTCACAGATCTAATGCAGTCAGAGACGAACACGGTGCCAGTGTTATTAAAGCAGAACCATTAAACACTCACTGAGACTATTATAATCAACCCTACAGTTCCTTAATGGCTTTTGGAAATCAGCTCATAAACGAGGAATGAATTATGTTTGTAAAGTGCTAATTTTGTACTTAATGTACTAAAAGTGATTCTTTAGTACTTCTTAAGATCGACTAAGTGTACTCAACTGTGCTATTTTGGGACAACATGAATATTAACTAAAATGTGCTTTTAATATACTATCTCTGTATTTAATAATGTACTTAGTTACCACTTTAACCCATCTTTCATACACTAGAGCACTCGTGTACTACAAGTGACTAAATACATTTTTTCCCAAAATAGCACAGTTGAGTACACTTAGTCGATCTTAAGAAGTACTAAAGAATCACTTTTAGTATATTAGGTACAAAATTTGTGCGTGAAAATAGAGCACTTTAAGTACATTATAGAAGTGCACTTTTTTAACCTGGGCATGCATGTGCTAATTAGCATAATGCAACTTTTCAAGCTGGCTTTAGTCTGCTTGTGTCATTGACTATTTTGATTATTTTGTTTATTATTTTCTTTTCTCCAGGACTAACTCCACCCGGCACACCTCCACATCAGATCTGGAGGCCCCTGGCGTCGGTCAAAGGGACAAAGCATGAATCCATCAAGCCGTCGCCCAGCAAAACCATTCAGATTATCGAACCTCGCCCACTGCCACGCAGTAAAACTCAATCAAAACCATCACTTCCCACCTTCACTCCTGCGTTGAATCCCGCTCGAGCGTTCCTGGACCACGACTACTGCGGGATTCAGGGCGGAAAGACGTATTTCGCACACACAGTGCTGCTGTCTCCTGACAGCTCCCCCTGCAGGATGGAGGCGTTCGAGGAGGCGGAGTCTCTGAGGGGGCGGGGCTTGCACTTCTCCTCCCACTCTCCGAGGGGAAGGCTGAAGAGGCGGGGCTATGAATGCGGATACCGGCGCTCCAGCTCGAGGTCTTGCTCCTCGTGTTCTTCATCGTCTTCATCATCTTCTCGTTCCAGGTCTCCTTCACCACCCAGAACAAGGTAAATGGACGCTGATGCCACTAGAATACAGTAAAAATGTAGTTAAAATAAACATGATTTTTAGTGTATATAATATGAAAATATTAATTAGTATATACTAATAAAGTACATAATGAAACACAAAATTGATTTAATAATTAATTCATATGCATCCATATAACAATGAGCAGCATTATTGAGCGTCGTCAGTGCTATTACTTCTGCGATGCATGTGGAGTTTCTGCGCAACAGCGCCCTCTGGCTTCCAGTATGACTTAAACCATCATTACATTACATGTGTAATGCTCACAACACCCTATTTTGGGAAAAATAGGAAAGATAATACTTTTCTCTAAAGAAACAGGATTTACACATTTTTTGTCTCTTAGTGGATGCATAAGTTTCCCTGAATTATCGTCATTAGCTGTGTTTCCATCCAAAAATTAGAATTTAACTTAACGTGCAAAACTGGAATATCGCATGAAACATTTGCGAATAAAGCACAGTTTCCAGTCAAAGAGAACAAAATCATCACATCCTGATAAACTGGCACTAAATATCACTAAGAAAACTAGGAGAAGCCACTGAATATAATAATTTTCATATATGATAAATTACTTGCGCCTCAGAGTGAGCAGACGAAACGATCGGTCCGCTTCTATTTATTCGAGGAATTTATTCGGTAAATGTGTTTCCATCGTAGGTTATGCAAATTATTTCTTATCGGATAAAAAGTTTATCCTACTCAAATGTGCACATAAGTTTTTTTATGTGCATTTTTAGAATTTATGCACATCTTGGCGTTTCCATCCAGCCTTTTTTTTAATGCAATATTCTAAAATGCGCATAAAAATAGGTGGATGGAAACATAGCTAGTGATATCGTTATAAATACAATACGCAATATTGTGAAATATTTTTACTATTTAAAATAACTGTTTTCTATGTGAATATATTTTAAAATGTAATTTATTTCTGTGATTTCAAAACCATATTTTTTACATCATTACTCCAGTTACATGATCCTTCAGAAATCATTTTAATATTCTGAATTGCTGCTCAAGAAACATTTATTATTATTATGTTGAAAACAGCGGAGTAGAATTTTTTCAGGTTTCTTTGATGAATAGAAAGTTCAGAAGAACAGCATTTATAATTTTTATCAATTTAAAGCATCCTTGCTAAATAAAAGTATTAATTTGAATGGAATAGTGTATAATGTTCTCTTAAATTAAGAGCTTTTTATTTCAGATAAATGCTGATCTTGGGATCTTTCTATTCATCAAAGAATCCTGAAATAAAATTTACTCAACTGTTTCCAACACTGATAATAAATCAGCATATTAGAATGATTTCTGAAGATCATGTGACACTGAAGACTGGAGTAATGATGCTGAAAATACAGCTGCGCATCACAGAAATACATTACAGTTTAACAGATATTCACATAGAAAACAGCTGTTTTAAATTATAATAATATTTTATATTTTTACTGTTTTTGCTGTACTTTGGATCAAATAAATGCAGGCTCGGTGAGCAGAAGAGAGTTCTTTAAAAAAAAAATTTTTACTGTCCAAATCTTTTGACTGGTAGTGTAGGCTGGTTATTCTTATAAATTGAAACAAATGTGCTTTAACCAGTATAAAGAGTATGAAAAGTGCTCTGAGTTGCTGCAGAAAAAAATTAATAAATAAATTGAGCAACAACAAAAACAAGTTGCTGGAGACGGGCTTATTATTGAAAATGCAAACTGATTGTCTGCCAGCAGGAGGCGCTTTTAGAGCGGCAGAAACATTGTTTTCCCCGGTAACGGCTGTTATCAAAGCAGCTCCGCTCATGAACGATACTTTATCAGATCAAATGAAAATGCCATCGAAACTTTTCTGAAGACAGTCCTTTCCCTTCAGAGATACATTCATATAAAACAGCCGCGCATTTTGATTTTGAAACGTGCAGTGCTCATGTTTATTCAACGAAGTCAAACGCCACAAATAAATCAATGTATGGGAAACACTGCTAATGTATATCGGAAATGTGTTTAAAAATCATATCACCTTATTGAAATACATATTGATATTGAATTATTGTCCAGCCCTAGGTACAGGTCCAGGCATTCTGGAAGCAGTTCCTCCTCGCGCTCCAGTTCTCGGTCGCCTTCTCGTTCTCCTCCTCGCAAGCGTGGACGCCGCTGCTCCAGATCGTTACGTCGCTCTCGTTCGGGTTCGCGCTCGCCTGAGCCGGACTGGAGATGGACGAGGTCAGTGTGAACACAACAGAACAGTGCGATTCTTCTGGTGTTGATTGTGAGTCTAAATCAGTCGTTATTCTCAGACGCAGACAGAAGGAGCTAAACTGCCGACACGAAGAGGCTCGTAAACAGCAGAAAGCCATCGTAGGTCTACAAGCGTTATATTGGACCGTGTGTGTTTGTGTTTGTGTCTGATGATGGGTTTGATCCTCAGGAGGAGCGGAGGGTGGTGTATGTGGGAGGAATCCGTGGAAGCATGTCGCCGTCGGATCTCAAAGATCGATTCTCGCTGTTCGGGAAGGTGGAGGATTGCGCAGTCCATCTCAGGAGTCACGGGTGAGATTTACACAGACAAAGCAAATCAATTGTGTTATAATATTTTTTTTTTCTTAAATACTCGAATTAATTGGAGATGCTTTTGATTATTAAAGTTTAATGGAACCATTAAAATGGAATACAGAAAATAATGGAAAACAGAATTTGGTAAAGATAAAACTGTAAAACTCAATTAATTAGACAGGCTTTTTGATTAATAAAATTTAATTTAACCATTAAAACGGAGTATAGAAAAATGAAAATGGAAAAAACTGAATTTGGAAATAAAACGGATTTCATAGTGCCCTATAATTATAATACATTTTTTTGTGGTAATAAAAATATGTAAGTGAACAATAGCGTTTAAAATTACTTAAAATACATAGATAATAGCAATGAGGTAATAATAATAAGTTCAAATAAAGTATCAAAAGCAAGAAATCATATGGTTTTATTGAACAAAACTGTTAAAATACATAATGTTTTATAAACAATAGAGCTAATGTACATTACGCATTACAACAAAGGCCTGCAGGGGGCGCCAACGGCCTGACGATTGTTTTTACACATTACTGTGCGATCTAACACTTGTTTAATATTGACCAAGCATGGCGCCTCCGCTGTGGGCGAGATGCAGTAGTGGGGGTCGGTGATGGTGTAGGCCTCCGGAGCAGACCGAGATCTCGCAGCTCTTCGGCGTGCACGGAGTTTAACTCTAAAAATGTGGTTCTGCCGACATCGAGCAGAAACTCACGACTGTATGCGCGCTTAGAGACAGGTAGACACGACGAATACATACAAAAACACTGCGACTCACAAGATAAAAAACATGAAAACACCGTTCTGTCGGGAGAGAGAGAAGCCGCAGCGTAAGTAATTTTAAGTAATTTGCACGCGCCGCCATCTTGGATCCAGACCTAAACCCTAAGATCAGAAAGACAGAAAATCACGAACTGCTCTTGACTGAAAATCTTTAGTTGCCTTAAAGATTAATCTAAATGTATTTATAGAAATAAATATGTCTGCTTGAAAGAATGAAGAATATGGTAAACAAGTTGCT